TTAGGTAGTTCTCTCTCTCTCTCTCTCTCTCTCTCTCTCTCTCTCTGTCTCTGTCTCTCTTTTTTCGTACATTTAGTAATTAAGAGATACATTTTTATTGTTAACAATTTGTACTTTTATTCGTTAACAATTTGTTTCGTTCAATGATCGCAAATTGCAAAAATCAATTACAAAAACACTTTTGATAAATTAATTCTTTTGATAGCTTTTTCAACAACTATCACGCGTCTATTCAGTCCCTTTCCTTTGTTTTTAATCTCGCTGCGAAAAAAAGTTGAAGTTAATCTCGTTGTTTGTTCGGTTTGTTGGACCGTGAACAAAAAACTCTCTCTGTTTGGATCAATTACTCTTTAGCGACATTGAAGTTTTAATGTTTTCATTTCGGCGATTTTTTTCCGAAGTTATTTCTTTCTTCTGATTCTTCTTCTTCTAAACAGGTTTAGGCTCGCGTTCACGTGAATAACAACTCCGAGCTCAGTTCTTATTAATTCGTTCTTATTAATTCGTATGATTTCTGAGAATCGTATGTCCAGTCATTTTATATACTCGTGTTGTAAATGTCTATTGAGACAAATAGAATCGTGAAAAGAGAGTCAGAAAAATGTTAACTTTGTAATCGTGAAATTTTGAAAATTTCACGTTAACGCGCGCAATTGAACTGTTCATCATACGGAATACGACAAGTTAGCGTTTCCTTCTTTTTGTTGAAAGATGACATATGTAGTTGTAAGCATTAGCATTAAATTGTACAATGTGATGAATTAAAATTTTTTTTATGTATTTGCAACATTTTGCTGAATTGCTGAAATGTTAATTAGATAATTGACGTCACAATTAATTACAATCTAATCGGTCATTGTTTTTTGAATATGCACAAAATTGATTGTAATTTTATAAAATGATTTAATTTGAGATTTTGGGAAAGATTGATAAATTATATATACCATTCAATTAAAATATTTTTAATTATGTTTATTAAAAAAAAATATTTAGCAGCAATGTAAAAGTCTTATCAATTTTTTACATGCTTTTATTAACTATAAATTTATTCTCAATTCATTCTCAATTTCAATCTCAATTTAAATAAAATATATTTGAATTATAATTTTAAAATCAATCTTAAACAATTTGTTAATTTGAGACGGATTTTGCGACAAAATTAGGAGTATAAAAAGAAAATTAAAATATGTAAAAGTGTTTTCGAATGCAATTTTCCTTTTCATATTTTATTGCTACAACAAATCCTTTCAAAGAAGAAAGAATATTTAAAGAATGAGGAACAAAAGAAGTAGATTAATGCCGATGTGGTTACTTTGTTTAATTTATTCTGTAATCTAAAAGAGGTGGAAGAGAATGAAAACAAAGAGCAAAAGAGCGTATATCCCATAATAATCAGTGCAAGAGAAAAGACTTTTCAATTTTTTTGGTAACACGATTAATTTTAATAAATTTGCCGACAAAATGATTCTTCATTGTGTTCGCAAGCTATTGATTTGATTAATATGTCTTTTCAAAAAAATTAATTTTTCCAACTTTCCCATATTCCTAAATGCTTGGACAATCTAAATATATCGAAAGATCATTTCATTATACATATATATATGCTACATTATATATACTGTCTATTATATATTGGATCAATTTTTTGCAATATTTTTTAGGTAGATTCTTTAGTTTCGCTGCTTCTTTAGTTTAAGCTGCTTTAGAAATATATCTTCATAATTCAGATGTAAGTTAATCGGTTGAGAAGATTGATAAATGACTGCAAAGTTTTAGAGAAATGGTTAACTTTTGTAGTACTTTGCAGAAATTTTATTCTATTGTTGCAAAAATATAGGACAAAACGTCGCGAAAAGAATAAGCCGATGAAAAATGAGTCAGACCTTCGAAAACTGATAATTAGAGTTATAATTCATCTTAAGTTTAATTAACGTAGAATTACTTCGCAAATTTTAGTGATTATTAAAAATTTATCAAGTTTGATTAATTTATCGAGAGTTGACGTTAATTATTAGAACATCTCTAATCATTATCGTTTATATCGCAACATTAGATCTCTCTGTTGTTTTGTCATATCTGATATTTTAATACAAATTGTAAACAAAATTTTTATTAAATTTTTGAGGGTTGCTATTTTAGAATATATACAAAAGTGATAAATTGGTAAACAATATTTGATAGATTTGGTAGCAGTATTTGATATTCAACATTACATCATGTCCTTTTTAAAAAATGACAAATATTTCAATTATTAGATATATTTTCTTTTTGTATAAAAAGCAAACATTAATTTAATTTATTTACGAAATATTTTTAAAAAATACAATAAAATGTGTGTTTCTTAAGATATTCTTGGTTTTTGCAAATTGCAAAAGTTAGTAATTATTTTATATACTTTTATATATTTTGAGATAAATGAATGTATAATTGGCTTAAGAAAAATAGAAAAAAAGAAGAACTCTCTAGAAATTTGAGTAAAAAATTAAAAATTCGGTTTATTCGCTGATGAATATCTTGTATCTTTTAAATAAAATGCACTTGCTTGCAAATACTTTTTGTATATAGAAAATAGTGAAAGTAATAATAATATTAAACAAGAAATATATTACTTATCGTTGATAAAATCTTTAAAAAGTGCGCTGTTAAAGGAAAATAAATCAAGCGTATTATACACAGTAAAAAACATTTTGTGTTAAATCGATCCTTGTTAAAATTTTTATGTTAAATAATCTACATATTTATGTAACTTTAACACATGTCTATTATGTTAACTGATCTTAACAAAATATAAAATGTAAAATTATTAAAATGATATAATGAATAAGAAATAGTGTTAAAATAACACAATTCATACGTATTTATTCAATATGTTAAAATTCACACAAAAAAAAGAATGTTGATTTTACTCTATAATAGGAGTGAGGATGACTTGTTATTATTCTTTGTGGTTTCGGCACAGTCTTGAATTTTAACGCATCTCGACATGTTATTATTATAAAAATTATGTTAATTGTAACACATAATTAACTTCAAATTAACATCAAGAGTACAGTTTCTTTTTTTTGGTTGAAATATTAACATAGTGTCGGTGTTACTATTTAACACATCCATATTATGTTAAATTAACACAAAATTTTGAGTGGATCGTTTGGGACATGCGATTTATGTTAAATTCAACACATTTTTTTCCAACGGTGTATAAAACGTATTATATATTGGATAAAAATCGTCGGAAGACGATATTTCCAAAGGAGGATATTATCAAAGTATGCACATTATACATTACTATTGTTTCTAACTTAATTATGGGAATTGAAAGTATTCATTTTTTTTTTAAAAGATCAGTTCAAATTTTATTCAGAGCTAAAATTGGGCTCAGCTTCAATCGATTTTTAATGAAATGAGTTAAATAATTGACGTCAGTGGACAGCTTTCCAGATCACCGAGTCCGCACTCAACCTTGGGTGTATATACTATACTAAACCAAAGTTACCCCGTTCCTGTATTGAGTAGCACTCCCCACTGCACTGACTGGTTCATTAACAATTACATGGACAACCATGGCACAGATGCCACGATATATAAAGTCACGAGGAATCGGCGTGGCTAGCTATTAGTTCGGATCGTTTCATCGACCGGTTTTGCGGAAGGTTTCGATTTCCTATATGTCGATATCTCTCGGACAGTCGTAAATCGACCAATTTAATCGACCGATTGGCCCAACGCGTACCAAAGTGAACAACTTGAAGTCGCATTTATACGTTTTATTATATATACTCGAACCCTTCCATCCAATTGTTCCACTTCACTGTTCAATCGTAATCACTTATCGAAATTTAAAGAAGATCTCGATTGCCAAGTTCGCGTTTTAATCAAATTTTTTCTATTATCGCTTCCCCAAAGTTCGTTTCGTGTCTCGAAGAATTGTCGGTAGAATTTCCTGGCTGCCACTATAATGCTCGCCAAGAGAAATACCGGTCTCCTTTTAACGATCGTTACTTGTCTGCTGATGAATTATTGCGAAACATCGTGCATCGGAAAAACCATGTTGAGTGAGTATGATGTTTAAACAACCTTCCGATGTGGATAAATTAGATATAATGTAAAACCAAATATAAATTAGATGTAGTACAAAATCAAATATTTTACCACCAAATCAACAAATATACGGCATTTCTTCTTATTTTCTATTCTTCATTTATTTTTTCGCAACGAGAGAGAAATGCATAATTATACACAAGTCAAATTTAGATTTTTCTTAATTGATTGTATCACTTGTAATTTAAAAGTTTCATCGTACATGTAACATCTCTACAAACATTGTGTAATTTTTCGTTAAAATTATTAAAATGTTCGCTGGTAACGTACAAATTGAAGGCAATCTCATTTTATGCATTCATATTTTAATATTTTTTTAATATTTCAAGATGCTTTTTTGTTAACTTTTTTTACATTTAGTCCGACAACCAAACTAACGTTCATAATTAATAAAAGCAGCCTGTTATCGTAAAACTATTAACTATCGAACCTGACATATCAGGAAAGATAACTATGTAAAGATGGCGGAAAGAATGTATATCGAGCTAAATAGGAATAGTCAATCGAGAGCTATTTATTTTACATACCACAAGTCCTTTCCCACGAAACTCATTTTGAAAGCTATGATGAGAATCGAGCTAGCAGGTGCCGACCGAATTGTATTATTACGTTCAGTACCAAGCCCATCTCATTTCCGGTGCAAAAAGAAACTGATGTTTCCAGTCATAGCGAGACGGCCATCCAACCAAATACGAATGTCACTCGAGTTTGTTTTGCCACTTCAATGGATACTAAACGCATCAACGATACAACGATGCGTCGTATCGACTCGAATCATGATTAATTGCCATTCACCGAAAAGGGAGTTCGACTATCGTTCATTATCCCTAATAATATCATTCGGTTTGTTCATTCAATGATCCGTTCGTTATCAAGAATTGCCATTTCTGCTTGTGTTTTAAAAATAAATAAATGGGTTGAAACAAATATAAGTGAGAAGAATGAAAAGTTTGCGACGGTCTACATATGCTCCGATACATGTGTTACACACTCTACTATTTTCTTCATTTTTTACTTACACATGTTGGTTCTCATATAAATCTTAAACAAATTGTACGAAATATTAGCCAGAGACGTGAGGCGTGAGTGAATGAGTGGGCGAGAGTAGGCGAGAGGGAGAGTAGGGGAACGAAAGAAAAATGAAAGAAAACTTACAGATATATTATTATTTTTCTTTTTATTAATACAATTGTCAAAAATCTTCCATCTTATCAATCCATTTAATCATAATCTAAAAATGCTCAATTTCGTTTTGCACTCATCGTTTTGCACAATCTTAACTAAATTAAAATAATATAATTGATTTATAATTGAGAAAAATTAGAATCCAAAGAGAATCGAAGAGAAAAATTAGACTTCCATATTCTAGATGAAGCTCTGACTGACTTTTAGTAGCAATATCCGAATCCGTTGAATTTTTAGATACATACGTGTGCGATCAACGGATAGAAAACTTATTCCATCCGATTAAGATAAAAATCAATTTCAGGAATAAATTAGTGGGCATGTCTTCGCGTGCAAAAATTATTCGACATTTGTATTCGGCAGAATATTCTCGCCTAAAATAGGATTCGATGACTGCTGTAAATTCAAATCGCTGATCATTATCGAGAGTGCCTCAAGTACGAAGTATATTACGAGAAATGTCCACGTTTTTAATGACACACAATCCGGTTTGAAAATGGTTAAGGATCTATCGTGCGTACGTAACTGTAAAGTATGGAGGTTCTCAATTTAATAATTTGCACATGTTTCACCATGATATATCGTAATAATATAACGTAAACATTACGTTAAATAATATTGCGTTACTTTATTATTCCCTGAAAAGTTTGCAGTACAGCAAAATATAGGCGCTACATCATATAGAAAAAAAAGTATAACAAGAAATTTGCGATAATTAATTGGCAAATTAATAATCGGCAAAATCTTGTATTCCTTTTATATTCTTTGGTCAGAGGGAATTTCTTAAAAGCATACTTGACTCAAGCGTAATGTGAATCTCCTCTTGGGTGCATCGCGATGCACATCGAGCGAGCCATTTAAGCGAACTCTACGCGAACTGGAGGTCCATTTACCTCATTAAATTTCTCGGTTTCTTTCTTTTTTTTTTTTTTTGAATCGAGAATTGAGAAAGGAATACGAAGATCGTGCAGAGATACAAATCTCGTAAGATAGATTGGAAGTATCCGCTGACTGTACGGCTCCCTATCGATCTTTGTATATGACGGAAGGTAACAATTAACTCGCGTGATTCGACGCGCGGTGCGGTACGATGCGATAATCGATCGCATTACCGATGCAGAACTTGGACCGTTTTCACTCTACTTGGTCTATTTCACAAAGGCTGTACAGTTAGTCGTCTTTCTTGTTCTCCCCCTTGTGCTCGAGCGTACTTGATGAAGTATTCTTGTGATCGAGCGTTGCCGCGGTGCGATTTGATTGGAACAATAGCGGAATAAAATAAATGGAAAATCTTCATGTTAATATTTTCGATGTTAAATCAACGTTAAATAAATTTTAATCTTCATTTCAAAGCTTTTCAACAGCTCGATAAACGCTAAACGCTCCTGTTTAGCTTCGTGATATTCGAATAAATAATATCTTTACATACTCGAGGTTCGTAAAAGAATCAGATTCATTGGTTTATTTTGAGGTGATTTGTTTTGAGATTGAAACATCCATATCGTTAATTTCTATAGAAAAGGGAGATATTTTTCTCCTACAACATATACATCCGGATACTGTATTATTACGAAATGCATAATTTGTAGTACCTTTATTTAATTTAATTAATCTTGTTGCTTTATGAGTGGAAAATTGAATATAATTTTGCTTTTTTTATCTGGATATTATTGATCTAATTTTTTGATATAATTGAAACAATATTCTGCACAATATATCAGTAACAAACATTTAAAAAATACATAGATTAATATCCATTTTTTTAATGTAAAGTTCATAAAATAGAGGGTAGAGGGAAAAAGAGATTTTAAAAACTGTACAAGTATCGAATATCAATAAAAGCGAAATAAAGTTAAATAAAAATTAATAAGGTTGACAAAATGGATTATTTAAAAATGGAAAAATGATAATAATCTCAGTTATTTCATCAATTTTATTTTTGAGACCCAATTTATTATTATTATTATTATTATTATTATTGCAAATTATTGAAAATTATTATTACAATTACTATTATTTCTTTTTATAGTAACGCGCACAATATCTAATCTAACACAGATTATATTGAAAAAGATGAAGAAAGTAATCTATAAATATCAAGAGATCGTATAATATTTCAATATCTTTCTATTACCTCGATTCCTATTACTCTACTCCTGTTACAGTTAAGAAAATATAATCACATATCTGAACATATCATTGGATTCTACATCATTTTATATAATTCTTTGGATATCCCGTTGAAAGAAGGATCATATTATAATACTCTTCTTTAATGATAAATGCGACTAGCGATATATATATATATATATATATA